ATCCATACTCTTCTACCTTGTCAATTCCCCTGAGAATTTTGTATATGATGATCATGTCTCCCTGGGCTCTTTTGTCTTCCGGCGACGTGAGGTGCAGTTCCCTCAGCCTTTCCTCGTAACTCATGCCTCTTAGTTTTGGGACTAGCCTAGTGGCATACCTCTGAACTTTTTTCCAGCTTCCTCTTGTGCTTGACAAAGTACGGGCTCCATGCTGGGTCGTATGCTTTACATACATGATTGTTACGGACTCGTCGCCCTTGTCAGGGGGTAGAGTGGCAGTTCCAGCGCCATCTACGAATCCGTACCCAAAACTGCCCGGGAATCGTACGTAATATGGACAATGCCATCTGGAGGTGGCTATCTAAAACCTGTAAATGGTTAAAGATTCCTATCTTGGTCAGCCAGAGGGGTCGTTGTGAGTGACCTCTGATGAGGTGACGCGTCAAGACCACTGCCACCTAGTGTGTGTGTTACGACCCTGGGTTCCTCAGTGGAAACCAGAGGTCAAAATTGAGCTATTAAACTTTCCTATAGTATAGTTGGACGCATCACGAGCTGAAACTGTTTGTTTCTTCCCTGCCAGATGTAAGACTATTCTTGTTTCTCAAAGAGCATTTAAAGACTGAGCTTGGGGTTGATTATTAAATAATAACATAGGCACCAATCATGTTTACTAATACTTTCTAATCATTTGTAAAGTAACAATATGTTGCATAGGGGAAGATTTTTAATGTGCTTAGCTGCACGATCAATTAGGCTCCTCCCGGCACCACCACAATGCGGGAGGCCTGAGCTGGTCGCTGGGAGCCTTCTTCACTAGCTGGCGTTCGTGGGGACTAGACCTACTCTGTGGCTGCACCCCTACTCTGTGGCTGCACCCCTACTCTGTGGCTGCATTTCTCCTCTTCTCCCTTCTCTTATTTCCCTTACCTTAAGTTCCTGTACCATTAAGTTAAGTACTGTGTGTTTAAGTGTGCCTACTCTGGTAGTAACGATTGGTGAGACCTGGGGGTAGTATTTGTCAGTGTTTTGGGTACCCCTAAGTGTTGTGTTTTGTATTAGGGTACCACGTGGTGTCTCTAACCTAAGCTGCATCCAGCTTCAGGGCTTACCCAGTAGTACTTTACCCTAGCTTGTTCTTAGTGTAAACCTTGTATCCTGCCTAGGTGGACCAAGGCGTTTAACGTAAGATAGTGTGGTAAAGTTATTATTATTATTGTTATTGGTGTGAGTGTATATGGGGGGTTGTTAAGGGGTTAATAAATAAGTAAATTAGAACAGTCTCTCCCTTCTTCCTGTGTGGGAGTGCATTGATCAACCCTTAGTCTGACATGGTCTAGTAGCAAGTTATTATTACTGTGGATAGTTTGTTTTGGGGGCCGGGCCTTTTAGTTCTCCCATATTTGATAACTCTGTATTCTAACTACCCTTACCCCTTAATAGTACCAGTTCCCCATAGCAAGCCCACCATTTCCCATAACAGTGTGCTACAGAGCACAATGTCAACTCCCCAGTGGGTTAGTGGTATTTCCTAGTTTCGCCAGTACCGGCAAAGTCATTGATGACGTTTTTGTGTCCACAGAGGTGACGTCTGGAGCCAACGGTACTGGAGAGAGGCAGTTCATCTTGGGCACTCCACAGTCTCCCTACATGGTCCTGGAAACGATCAAGTAAGCTGCCGCCGATGAAGCAGTGTGGTAGCTGCAAGTGCTTAAGTGTTGAAAAGGATCGGCGTACCTTCGGGACTGGCTTAGGGGACGACAGGGCTAGCTAGCTAGCTAGTCGCTAGAGACTGCTACCAGGGGATCGCTACCCCTGTATTGGTTTGTGACCCCACTCAGCGTGTGGCTGAGGTACTCTGCCAGCGAGTAGCTGGAGAGCGGTTGTTGGTGTACAGGCACCTCATGACACTGTCAGTGGGCTGGCCCACGTACAAGTGAACTCGCCGGTGTTCTTCCCAGTAAGGTTGGATACGCTACTGGACAGTGAAGAGATACTGGGGATTGATGAACTCTGCACGTGAGCATGTTTGATATCTTGAGCAAAAGGATTGTTCAATAGTTGTAGTAGTAGCCAATCTGTTCTTTATATATTATTTATGGTGACAGTGTACATATATATACTTAACGGTGGTGGGAAGATATTTAATACATTGACCTAAAGAACAGTGTTTTGTTCATCCCCTCCTACTTTTTTTGCACTACATAGCCACTTTCTTGAAAGCATACTACCGACTTGGGGCCGGATACTTTCATTTTGGTTCTACCATCGAAGAACCCGGTTGCGACCCATAGTGGCCGTAACAGTGATATACAAGGTTCTTAATGATTCCTTGCACAGGTTTCTGAAGGCAGTTCTGATGTTATCCAGCCTCGCATACGCCACCAATATTATTCTTTTGACGTGGGCTTCAGGAGACAGGTTTGGTGTGATATCAACTCCTAGATCTTTCTCTGTCCGTTTCGTGAAGGACTTCATCTTCCATTTGGTATCCAGTGGCTTGCCTAATTCTTCCTCCCCCTAGTTTCATTATCTTGCAATAACTTGGGTTGAACTTTAGTAGCCATTTGTTGGACCATTCATTCAGTTTATCTAGGTCATCTTGTAGCCTCCTTCTATCTTCCTCTGTCTTAACCCTCCTCATAATCTTTGTATCATCAGCAAACATTGAGAGGAACGAGTCTATTCCCTCTCGGAGATCATTTACATATATCAGGAGCAGTATAGGTCCAAGGACTAAACCCTGAATTACTCCACTGGTGACGTCATGCCCCACCAAGACCTCACCCCCTCACTGTGACTCGCTGTCTTCTGTTGCTTAGGTACTCCCTTATCCTGTGGAGTACCTTCCCTGTCATTCCTGCCTACATCTCCTGTTTGTGCACTAGTCTTATGAGGTACTGTGTCAAAGGCTTTCTGGCAATCAAAAAATATGCAGTCTGCCCACCTTTCTCTTTCTTGCCTGATTTTTGTTGCCTGGTCGAAGAATTCAATCAATCCTGTGAGACATGATCTGGCATCCCTGAGCCCATGTCGATGTTGTGATACAAAGTTTTTCCACTCCAGTGGAAGTGGACCAATGCACGCTCAAGCTCGATACTTGGGATCTGACAAGTGATTGGAAGAGGACTGTGTTCTTGATAATCTACAATCCCTCACCAAACAGTAGAAGGCCCAGACAAAAATATGATGACAATAACAAGACATGTATAAATGAACTGCAGAGGGATTGCAACAACAGCTCACAGATTGAGAGCGAAACTGCTGATCATGGGGGACCTAGATCTCGGAGAGATCGATTGGAAATCATGAAATCCCCCATGGTGGGGAAGAAACGTGGGGAGCAAAATTAATGGAAGTTACAGAAAGGAATTTATTAACACAACTTGTAAAGGAAGGCAAAAAGAAGAGAGGAGGGGATACACCAAGCCTATTAGACCTCATTTTCACCCAGAATGCAGAAAAATTACGAGTATTAAACATTAAGTACCACTAGGAGCCAGTGATAATTGTCATAGTCATTGACTACATGATCGAGCTTAAAAATGTGACCACAGAACTAGAGGTCTGAATAAAGAGAGCAGACTATAGGAAAGGGGATTACAGAAGGATAAGAGAATATCTGGGACAAGTGCAGTGAGAAGAGGAACAAAGACATAGAGGAAAAACAGAGCAAGTATGATGGACCTAGTCAAGTGGAAATGCCAGAAGGCTGAAGAGAGTTTCATACTAACACTAAAGGAAAAAAGTTGAAGGGAGTATTTAATCCTATGGTTTAATAGACAGTGCCAGGAAGCATAAATGAGGAGCAGGACGGCGAGAAGAAAGTACAGATGACAATATGATTAGCCGCAACAGAGCTAGGAATGATTACAATAATATAAGGAGAGAATCGGAAAGGAATTATGAAAACGATATTGTAATGAAAGTGAAAAAGCAACTTAAATGACTTCATAGTCATTTAAGCAGGAAAAAGTCGGTGAACGACCAAGTGACAAGACAAAGAAAAACAGTGGGGGCATATACAGAAAGTGACAAGGAAATCTACGAGGTACTGAATGCCAGTTTCCATGGAGTGTTCAAAACCGAGCCTGAGCAGTTCCCATTGTTAGAAGAGATGACCCAAGATGAGAGACTAACAGATATAGAAGTGACAGCAGAGGAGGTCATGAAACAGCTGACAACACTTGATGAAACTAAAGCACTGGACCAGACAATGTATCACCCTGGATAATAAAAGAGGCAGCGCAGGCCCTCAGCGTGCCTCTGGCAAGGATCTATAATGAGTAGCTTACAAAGGGAGAGTTGCCAGGTTGCTAGAAGAAGGCAAATGTGGTACCAATTTTCAAGAAAGGAGATTGGAATGAGATACTTAACTACAGACCAGTATCACTGACAAGCATCCCCTGTTAAGTACTTGAAAGAATAATCAGGTTAAGACTTGTTACACAACTAGATAACATTATATATGTAAACACACACTAACATAGTTTCAGAGAAAAGAATTCATGCCAAACAAACATTCTGGAATTCTATGATAAAGTAACAAAAATAAGGCAGGACAGGGAAGGTTGGTCTAACTGCATATTTCTGGACTGCCAAAAAAGGAATTTGACACAATATCTCACAGGAGACTGCTATTCAAACTTGAGAGGCAGGCGAGAGAAAGCCGAAAAGCCGTAGCTTGGGAATAGAATTACTTGACAGGAAGGAACTACAGAGTAACAGTCAGGGGGCGAGAAGTCGGACTGGCGAACCGTAAAGAGTGGAGTACCTCAAGGATATGTGCTGGGACCAGTTCTATTTCTAATATACGTGAAAGACGTGTCTGAAGGAGTCGAGTCCTATATGTCGATGTTTTCGGTAGAGGGTAAACTTACCGTGGGTGTAGACGGTAAACTTACCCTGGGTGTAGACGGTATACTCACCCTGGGTGTAGACGGTATACTCACCCTGGGTGTAGACGGTAAACTCACCCTGGGTGTAGACGGTATACTCACCCTGGGTGTAGACGGTAAACTTGCAGGGGGCGGTCTGAGCACCGACAGTGTTCTGCGCCCAGCACCACACTTCAACACTCTCCTCCTCCACACGGGTCAGCGTGTAGTGCCCAGTCAATCCCTCCTTCCGTCCCACGCTGTGTAGTCTCACAGGCTGACTCTCTGTGGTGGAAGGGTAAGTTGTGATGGGAAGGGAATGTGGGAGGGTTAAGGGTGCATGAGTACTGGTGGAGGGAGAGTGGCCGACACTCACAGTAAACACAGTACTGGTGGAGGGAGAGGGACCGTCACTCACAGTAAACACAGTACTGGTGGTGGGAGAGGGACCGACACTCACAGTAAACACAGTACTGGTGGTGGGAGAGGGACCGACACTCACAGTAAACACAGTACTGGTGGAGGGAGAGGGGCCGACACTCACAGTAAACACAGTACTGGTGGAGGGAGAGGGACCGACACTCACAGTAAACACAGTACTGGTGGTGGGAGAGTGGCCGACACTCACAGTAAACACAGTACTGGTGGTGGGAGAGTGGCCGACACACACAGTAAACACAGTACTGGTGGTGGGAGAGGGACCGACACTCACAGTAAACACAGTACTGGTGGAGGGAGAGGGGCCGACACTCACAGTAAACACAGTACTGGTGGAGGGAGAGGGACCGACACTCACAGTAAACACAGTACTGGTGGAGGGAGAGGGGCCGACACTCACAGTAAACACAGTACTGGTGGAGGGAGAGGGACCGACACTCACAGTAAACACAGTACTGGTGGTGGGAGAGTGGCCGACACTCACAGTAAACACAGTACTGGTGGTGGGAGAGTGGCCGATACACACAGTAAACACAGTACTGGTGGTGGGAGAGGGACCGACACTCACAGTAAACACAGTACTGGTGGAGGGAGAGGGGCCGACACTCACAGTAAACACAGTACTGGTGGAGGGAGAGGGACCGACACTCACAGTAAACACAGTACTGGTGGTGGGAGAGTGGCCGACACTCACAGTAAACACAGTACTCGTGGAGGGAGAGTGGCCGACACTCACAGTAAACACAGTACTGGTGGAGGGAGAGTGGCCGACACTCACAGTAAACACAGTACTGGTGGGAGAGTGGCCGACACTCACAGTAAACACAGTACTGGTGGAGGGAGAGTGGCCGACACTCACAGTAAACACAGTACTGGTGGGAGAGGGGCCGACACTCACAGTAAACACAGTACTGGTGGGAGAGGGGCCGGTCAGTCCCTCGCTACTGGTCCTCAGAAGGACTATAATACTGGTCAGTCCTTGTGGCTCTATAGTGGCTCTCCATGCACACCTGTGGCCCTCCCAACACACCTGTGGCACTCCCTACACACCTGTGGCATTCGTTACACACCTGTGGCACTCTCTACACACCTGAGGCACTCCCTACACACCTGCTCATATTTCTCTCGCTTTTGAAGGTGATAAACTTAGGAAAATATCAGCTGAAACAGTTCCAGTTCAACAAGTAACAGTAACGAAAAGAGTATTGTGTACTGGGAGACACAGTCATATAGGAGGGGGAAGAGTATTGTGTACTGGGAGACACAGTCATATAGAAGCGAGTAGAGTATTGGGTATTGGGAGACACAGTCATATAGGAGCGAGAGGAGTATTGTGTACTGGGAGACACAGTCATATAGGAGGGGGAAGAGTATTGTGTACTGGGAGACACAGTCATATAGGAGCGAGAAGATTATTGTGTACTGGGAGACACAGTCATATAGGAGCGAGAGGATTATTGTGTACTGGGAGACACAGTCATATAGGAGCGAGAAGAGTATTGTGTACTGGGAGACACAGTCATATAGGAGCGAGAAGAGTATTGTGTACTGGGAGACACAGTCATATAGGAGGGGGAAGAGTATTGTGTACTGGGAGACACAGTCATATAGGAGCGAGAAGAGTATTGTGTACTGGGAGACACAGTCATATAGGAGGGGGAGGAGTATTGTGTACTGGGAGACACAGTCATATAGGAGCGAAAGGAGTATTGTGTACTGGGAGACACAGTCATATAGGAGCGAGAGGATTATTGTGTACTTGGAGACACAGTCATATAGGAAGGGGGAAGAATATTGTGTACTGGGAGACACAGTCATATAGGAGCGAGAGGATTATTGTGTACTGGGAGACACAGTCATATAGGAGCGAGAGGAGTATTGTGTACTGGGAGACACAGTCATATAGGAGCGAGAGGAGTATTGTGTAATGGGAGACACAGTCATATAGGAGCGAGAGGATTATTGTGTACTGGGAGACACAGTCATATAGGAGCGAGAAGAGTATTGTGTACTGGGAGACACAGTCATATAGGAGCGAGAAGAGTATTGTGTACTGGGAGACACAGTCATATAGGAGGGGGAAGAGTATTGTGTACTGGGAGACACAGTCATATAGGAGCGAGAAGAGTATTGTGTACTGGGAGACACAGTCATATAGGAGGGGGAAGAGTATTGTGTACTGGGAGACACAGTCATATAGGAGCGAAAGGAGTATTGTGTACTGGGAGACACAGTCATATAGGAGCGAGAGGATTATTGTGTACTTGGAGACAGTCATATAGGAAGGGGGGAAGAATATTGTGTACTGGGAGACACAGTCATATAGGAGCGAGAGGAGTATTGTGTACTGGGAGACACAGTCATATAGGAGCGAGAGGAGTATTGTGTACTGGGAGACACAGTCATATAGGAGCGAGAGGAGTATTGTGTACTGGGAGACACAGTCATATAGGAGCGAGAGGAGTATTGTGTACTGGGAGACACAGTCATATAGGAGCGAGAGGAGTATTGTGTACTGGGAGACACAGTCATATAGGAAGGGGGGAAGAATATTGTGTACTGGGAGACACAGTCATATAGGAGCGAGAGGATTATTGTGTACTGGGAGACACAGTCATATAGGAGCGAGAAGAGTATTGTGTACTGGGAGACACAGTCATATAGGAGCGAGAAGATTATTTTGTTCTGGGAGATACAGTCATATAGGAGGGGGAAGAGTATTGTGTACTGGGAGAAACAGTCATATAGGAGCGAGAGGAGTATTGTGTTCTGGGAGACACAGTCATATAGGAGCAGCGGCGTCACTAGCCAATTTATGTAAGAATTATATAAATATAATATTTATATATTAGTCGATCGAGGACAAATTATGTTGATGTTTGCCAGGTGTATAATGTTTTGTGGAAGCCTTTTGCTCATCAACTAATTAAGTGCATCTCATTCGTCCCGGGGAACTTTTAACATACACTCATATATGTTACCGTATACACCTACACCCGTTGCCCTTCACTTACACCCGCAACCCTTCACTTACACAGCTACCCTACACTTACACAGCTACCCTACACTTACACCCGCTACTCTACACTTACACAGCTACCCTACACTTACACCCGCTACCCTACACTTACACCAGCTACCCTACACTTACACCCGCTACCCTACACTTACACCCGCTACCCTACACTTACACCCGCTACCCTACACTTACACCAGCTACCCTACACTTACACCAGTTACCCTACACTTACACCCGCTACTCTACACTTACACCCGCTACTCTACACTTACACCCGCTACCATACACTTACACCCGCTACCCTACACTTACACTCGCTACCCTACACTTACACCCGCTACCCTACACTTACACACGCTACCCTACACTTACACTCGCTACCCTACACTTACACCAGCTACCCTGCACTTACACAGCTACTCTACACTTACACCCGCTACCCTACACTTACACCAGCTACCCTACACTTACACCAGCTACCCTACACTTACACCCGCTATCCTACACTTACACCCGCTACCCTACACTTACACCCGTTTCCCTACACTTACACCAGCTACCCTACACTTACACCCGCTACCCTACACTTACACCAGCTACCCTGCACTTACACCCGCTACCCTACACTTACACCAGCTAACCTACACTTACACACGCTACCCTACACTTACACACGCTACCCGTCACTTACACACGCTACCCTACACTTACACCCGCTACCCTACACTTACACCAGCTACCCTACACTTACACCAGCTACCCTACACTTACACACGCTACCCTACACTTACACCCGCTACCCTACCCTTACACCAGCTACCCTACACTTACACACGCTACCCTACACTTACACACGCTACCCTACACTTACACCAGCTACCCTACACTTACACCCTCTACCCTACCCTTACACCAGCTACCCTACACTTACACACGCTACCCTACACTTACACACGCTACCCTACACTTACACACGCTACCCTACACTTACACACGCTACCCTACACTTACACCAGCTACCCTACACTTACACCAGCTACCCTACACTTACACACGCTACCCATCACTTACACACGCTACCCATCACTTACACACGCTACCCTACACTTACACCAGCTACCCTACACTTACACCAGCTACCCATCACTTACACACGCTACCCTACACTTACACCCGCTACCCTACACTTACACACGCTACCCTACACTTACACCAGCTACCCTTCACTTACACCCGCTACCCATCACTTACACACGCTACCCTACACTTACACCCGCTACCCTACACTTACACACGCTACCCTACACTTACACCCGCTACCCATCACTTACACCCGCTACCCTACACTTACACCCGCTACCCATCACTTACACCCGCTACCCATCACTTACACCCGCTACTACCACCCGCTACCCTACACTTACACCCGCTACCCTACACTTACACTTACCCTCCACTTACACTCGCTACCCTTCACTAACACCCGCAACCTTACACTTACACCCACTAACCTACACTTACACCCGCAACCCTACATTTACACCCGCTCCACTTGACTTACACCCGCTACACTTCACTTAAACCCACTACCCTTAACTTATACCAGCTACCCTACACTTACACCCACTACCCTACACTTACACCTGCTACCCCTTCAATTACACCCCCTACCCTAGACTTACACCCACTACCCCACACTTACATCGGCTTCCCTACACTTACACCCGCTACCCTTCACTTATACCCACTACCCTACACTTACACCCGCTCGCTTACACTTACACCCGCTCCCCTATACTTGCACCCGCTACCCTAAACTTACACCCGT